CTCAGGCTTATTATTAATTAACTTACAATTTAACCTATAATTCTTATCTGTGTTTAGCCACGTGCCTTGGTACCTTTACTCAGTAAGGCAGTCTCATCTTGCTTCCTCTGCATCTTACTGGTGACTGACTCTCTGTCTTTCCTCTTCCCAGAATTCTCAATCTGGTCACCCTGCTCATACTTCCTGCCTGACTACTGGCCAATTAGCATTTATTAAACTAATACAAGTGACAAATCTACAATATACAAGAGTATTATCTCATAGCAAGCCAGCCAGAACAGACTGCTTGAATCTCCATGCCCTGGAGTGTGTTAAGCCTCAGTTTTCCCATCCTATGTTAAATGAAGAGCAGCCCAGCTCTTGTGGTTGACTTCTTTTGGAGTGAATAGGTGTCTCCCTTCCTGCGGAGAGCCCTGGCTAGGCTGACCCCAGCTATAAGGTCATTTGTCACTCTTGATTTGAACATGAACATATCGCCTGGCCCTGACCCAGGCATGTGTTCAGGTCCAGGATGTGCAAAGCCTAGACAAGAGTGGGACACTCCAGTGTCCTCTATGCATTCACTACTCTCTGTGAGAGTCCTTTAATAAGGCCTGCCCAGTGCAGACAGCTCCAGAGAGGCCAGCGCCACAGTGCCTTCCCAGACAACGTTCCTGGTCTTGTGGCAGCCCCACCTTCCAGGAAGTACCATGCCTAAAGCCCCCAAGTTTGAAGGAGGCCAGAGGACAACCTCAGGTGTATTTCTGAGTAATGCCTTCTACCTCTTTGGTGACAGGGTCTCACTGGCCTGGAGTCCACCAATTAGACCAGACTGGCTGAACTCTTAAGTCTTGGGATCTCCTATCTACCTCCCCAGCACAAGCAGCGTTTTACATGGGTTCTGAGACTTGAACTCTGATCCTTCCTGTTGGCAAGGGAAGCTCTACCAGCTAATCTCTCCCCAAGCTCTGATTTTCACCCAGGGAAGTCCAGTATAAACATTCCCAATAGCCTTGCCACCGGGTCAGAGGAATAGTCGGCCTTGCTGTTGGGTCCAGGCCTAGGAGAGATGCAGCCTCACCAAGCAACTCTAAATAGACCAACAGCAACCAAACCTGAGATCTCCAGGCTTCCCGCTTTTACCTGATCCAGACAGCCAGGGCAAGCATGATGTGGGCAGGCGGGCCTGCCCAACCAGGGCAGGCTGTTCAGCATCCTTCCTCTTGGGTGCTTTTCCATTCTTGCCTAACCTGGGACTTACGAATGAACCTCAGGAGCAAGGCTACCCACCTTCTGCCTCCAACACTAGTATGTGCCCTGGCCCCCACACCCCACTCTCTCTATCCTCCCTCATACAGCCTTAGGCAGTGTCTGCCAGGAGAGCTGCACTCAGATCCCTCAGACTGCCTACCCAGACACTAGTGGGTAAAAAATCCAAAGCAGGCTTTGAGTGGGAAGACAGGGGCACTGAGACCAAAGGTTACAGGACATCGTCTGGGACCACGCTTGACACCAGCTGTCCTGCTGTTACCTCAGTACACCCATGGAACGTGGGTGCTCAGAGACCAGTATGCTGCTGCTATCCTGGCCCAGGAGTGTCCTGCATTTCAAGGGCTGGGCAGAATGGATTGAATCTGTGCATGGGATTAGCTGGGCTCAGGACAGCTGCTAGCCACAAGTACGGGATCAGTAAGGAGCTGTAAGCCAAGGAAGGAGGCCTGGTCAACTCTGCTGGGTTCCATCTGAAAAATGGTCATAGCACACAGGTCCACAGATCCCAGCCTTAGGACCTGGCAGAGGAAGTAGAGCAGTCTCATCTTTGAGAGTATCTGGGCCAGCTCGGCTCCTATGAAGCCACAGGATAGCAGCTGACAGGTCCATGGACCTGTTTGCCTCCTGAGACCCCGGGTCCCACCCAATCACCCCAGTGCTCTCCCTACGTCTTCAGAATCCATCTGCACCAGTAAAGCTATATAGACTGTACTTAAATACACCAGACACGGAGCAGGCTGATCCTGGCTAAAATCCAGCTCTGCCGGCACATTTGCTGTACAGCCTGGGATAAATTGTCACTGCCCTGGGTCTCAGTTTCCCTGCCTGGGAAGCGGGGTAAGCTGAAGCTCCTTGAAGAATGAAAACAGGGGGGCTGGAGAGATGGCTCAGTGGTTAAGAGCACTGCCTGCTCTTCCAAAGGTCCTGAGTTCAATTCCTAGCAACCACATGGTGGCTCACAACCATCTGTAATGAGATCTGATGCCCTCTTCTGGCCTGCAGGCATACATGCAGACAGAATACTGAGAATACTGTATACATAATAAATAAATAAATCCTTAAAAGAATGAAAACAGGGAAGTAGCTGAACATGTCTCCAAAGCCATTGTTCTCATTCCTCTCCTGGGGTACAAGGTGGAAGGTGAAGGTATCAGTGGACTCCTTCCCACTGGCCCCGCCTCGACAATGGCCTTTCCTCAAGGAGTCCTGTGGCCCCTGCTCCTCTCTGGGAGAGGTAAGGTAGCACTGGTGAGGCAAAGGGCTGGTCTAGAGTGGGGCACTCTGAAGTGGGCCCTTCGCGTGCGTGCGCCACACACACACACACACACACCTTCCCTAGCTTTCCTTCTGCTGCTCTTCCCGGGACATTAGGTTCTGTTTGACTGTATACAGAAAGATCCCGACCCAAGAAGAAGCTGGAATCTACGAGCCCAGCCCTCTCTTCCAGGATGTAGCTGACCCAACTCTTCCCTCACCTTTACCTCCCTCCCACCTGGTCTTGTGACTCACAGACTGACAATGCAGAAGGGTCATGGGAATCATGTCAGTGTGCCCATTGGTTAGGCAGAAAAACCGTAGCCCGGGAAACCCCACCCATGTCCACCAAGATCTTCTCCAAGGCCCTGGAGCCCGGCAGCTACAGCTGACATGTTTATATGCACGTTGGTAGGCACATGTATGTGCCAGGGAGAAACTGGAGGTCAGCAGGTCAGCCGAGGGAGGGACCATGGCTGGGCTCTGCACCAAACATCTCAGCCATAGCTTCATTTCAGAAGGGGCTTCCTTGAGGGCACTTAGACGGTCTCGGTCCCCATCCGCCATTGTTCTCTGTGAGGGGAGGGGCTGTATCCACACTAGATTCTGAGGCCCTGGGAACAGGCCAGCAGCCTGGTGCTCTGTGGATCTGTGACAGCAACAGTCAGTCAGCATTGAGTGACTCAACTGACCCCAGGCAGCTGGCAGCACAGCACTGCCCTCATGGTGGCCTATCAAGTCTGTGAGCAGAGCTGTCCCTTCATCCCTTTGAGAAGTCACTCCCAGGGCACCCGGTGTGCTGCCCCAGCTCTCCTGCCCGCAGGTCGAGGCTGCTTCTAAGTGTGGGGGCTGAAGAAGGACCTGTGACTACACTCCCTGGCCCCGCCCACAGCTGGACATTCTAGACTCTCGCAAAAACCAGGCCAGACAGGCCCTTCTGCTTCAGAGGTGGCCGGATCCCCAAGAGGCCCCAAGGTAGAGGCCTTCCCAGAATGACAGCCAAACCTTAGGCATTCAAAACAGCCCAAGATCTGGCTCCTACCTTGTAACGGCATAAATGAATGCAGACAGACTGGGCTTAACCCTACACCACCTGTCCTCTTTTCAGATAAAAGCACCCACAGGACCCAGCCCACCCTAGCCAGCTGTGTTAAATGGGATTCAGTGGGGGAGGGGGCGCTTCTGGTGGCTCCAGGCCCCAACGAGCGTCCTTCAGTAACTGCACTCATTTCCAGTGGGCTTTCCTTCCCCGCCCCAGAATTTTTTTTTCTTGGATAAAATGGTAGGAGAGGGGCTGGAGAGAAGACTCGGCAGTTAAAAAGCACTGGCTAATCTTGCAAAAGATCCAGGTTCTGTTCCCAGCACCCACATGATGGTTCATAACCAGCCGTAACTCCAGTTCCAGGAGATCCAAGGCCCTCTTCTGGCCTCCATGGGCACCAGGCACACATGTAGACAAAACATTCATCCTCATAAAAGTTTTTTAAAAATTAGAAACCTAAGCCGGGCGGTGGTGGCACACGCCTTTAATCCCAGCACTCGGGAGGCAGAGGCAGGCAGATCTCTGTGAGTTCGAGGCCAGCCTAGTCTACAAGAGCTAGTTCCAGGACGGGCACCAAAGCTACAGAGAAATCCTGTCTCGAAAAATAAAACAAAACAAAAAAAAAATTTAAAAACCTGTAGGACCCTCACTAAGACCCAAGGGCATTCCCCAGCTAGCATCTCTCCTGCCCATACAGGGAAGGGGCTCATGATGACCATCATAGGCAAGAAGCACAACCTCAGTGCCCATCCACAGATCCAGACACTGAACCTCAAGGACCCACGGCAGGGAGTAACATGTAAGACCCCAGTGCCAACCACGAACAGCAAAAAGGGCACAAGTCAAAGCGGCAAGCTGCTGAGAGCAGCTCAGCTGAAACCCCTTTGCCCCATCAGCCAGGGCCTCTCACTTTTCACGGGCATTCCACTGGGTAGGGTCCCTCTGGGTAGAGAGGGTGCCTCGAAAAGGATCCTAAGTGTCTGTGACGCAGCGGGCGTGGCCGAGCTGGGCCCAGCGGCTGTTCTCGGGACCTACTGGACAACTGTGTGATGCAAAGGGACAGACCCAGAGGAGGAAGCAGAGTGCCGGAGTTTCCCCAGGTGTGGCCCCAGGTATAAAGAAGCACACAGCCGGTCTCCACCAGGTGCAGCATTGGGACCATCGCCAGGTGTGAGGCCTGCTCCATGTCTGCTGCCATGGCTACTGTCATTGGCACTGTGATGGTGAGCCTGGCACCTTTCCCAGCCTGCTAAGGACAGCCTATCCCAGAAGGGAGGATGATGGGGGCTTCTGTCTGAGCCTGGGTGTGCTGGGATGCCTTTAGGCGAAGCGTATTTCCCCACTTACAGAACAAAGTCTAAACCCTATCTTTTCTGTGAGAACCTGCAAGATTTGGAGGAAATGGGGTGTTCTCGGGGCTACCCCTAACCATACACCTGCCTGTTCCCCAGCGTCTCCTGCTTCTAGCCTGGTTGCCTTCTGGGATGACCCACCAAGACCTCCCATTCCGGCGGAACCCCCGAAGCCATGGGACCCTGAGGTGCTACTCTGCTGAGGAGCTGTCTCGTGGCCAGGCTCCCCCACACCTGCTAACCCGAAGTGCCAGGTGGGAGCAGGCCCTCCCTGTGGCCCTTGTGTCCACTCTGGAGGCCACAGGCCGCAGGCGACAGCATGAAAGACCTCTAGCTGGAACACAGTGCCCCGTGCTGCGGCCAGAGGAGGTGCTGGAAGCTGACACCCACCAGCGCTCCATCTCACCATGGAAATATCGGTGAGATTGATGGGGGGGGGTCCCCACGGGTGGGATGGGAGGGTGACTTTATTCCCACTCTGGGGCCTTAGTTTCTCACCTGCGCACAGGTGTGCTCACCCCAACCTTTAAAGACACATTCCCCTAAGAAGCTGTCGCTTGGGCCAAGTGAGACCAGGACTGTAGTGAGGAGGCGAGCAGGCCTGCTTTTCGTCCCTCCCGGTTCCCGCATGGTTAGCTTTACACCCGAAATAACAACACACAAATTATATTCATTAAACATGGCCTGGCCCAGTTTCAGCCTCTTATAGGCTAATTCTCACATCTTGCTTAACCCATTTCTAATAATCTGTGTAGCTCCACAAAGTGGTGACTTACCAGGAAAGATTCAGCATGTCTAACCTGGTGGCTGGCTCCTCGGCGTCTGCCTGGAGAGGAGGGGCACCGCGGCTGCCTCACTTCCTTTCTTCCCAGCATTCTGTTCTGTCTACTCCACCCACCTAATTTTCTGACCTATCAGGTCAAGCAGTTTCTTTTTTTTTTTTTTTTTTTTTTTTTTTTGGTTTTTCGAGACAGGGTTTCTCTGTGGTTTTGGAGCAAGCAGTTTCTTTATTAATTAACCAATGAAAGCAACATATAGACAGCTGACCCTCCTCCATCACAGGACGACCCCCATTAAAGGCCCTGGTTCTGTGTTCTCATTAAATGTAGGCAACACCATTGATTGAGCACCAACTGAATGCCAACTTTCTCAGTGCCTGTACCTTTCTGTCCATTGCGTTCGAATCCTGAACTCTTAGATTGCCCGTTCCACAGCAAGTGGTGCAGCCACAAGAGGTGGAGCTCCAAGGGGCGGGGAAGGGGTGCTGTGCCCACCACGCTGCTTGCTAGAGCTTAGATTAGTTCTAGGTAGGACCAGAGCTGAGTATTCTCACTGCTCCTGTCCCCACAGCATTGACACAGACCAGAACCGCTACCCACAAAAGCTGGCGGTGGCAGAATGTCTGTGTCGTGGCTGCATCAACGCCAAGACGGGCCGGGAGACAGCCGCCCTGAACTCTGTGCAGCTGCTGCAGAGTCTGCTGGTGCTGCGGCGGCAGCCCTGCTCGCAAGACGGTGCCTCGGACCCTACACCAGGATCCTTCGCCTTCCACACCGAGTTCATCAGAGTGCCTGTTGGTTGCACCTGTGTTCTTCCCAGGTCTGCACAGTGATGACTTCTGCTGAGGCCCCATCTGAGGCCCCATTGTCGTTCAACCGGGCTTTTTCTGGGCCAGACATCCCAGGCAACCCCACAGAGGATGCCCTTCTGTTTATATGTATTTATTGCTTATTTATTGACTCAGAAGTGCAGCAGAGGCCGTACCCAGGCTTGCCCAGTGAACTCTGACCAGTGCCCAGATGCAGGCGGCTGGTCTCAGGACTGGAGAGGTCAGGCAAGCCCCTGTCTGGAAGGATCATTCCCAGGGACTCTTCAGCTTTAGCTAAGCCTGTTTCCAAAGCGGAGAGCTGGGCATGGTATGGGGCACAGCTGGAGTCCCAGCCTCCACAGAGGCTGGAAAGTTGCCTCAAATTCTCAGACAGCCTGGTGTACATAATGAGTTTCAGGGATAGTAAAACCATCTCAAAAGGAAGCCTGAAGGAACCGGCTTCCTCTCCTTGAACCTCTAGCAACAGTGACAGGCGGGGAGATGAGGGGCCGGCTCTATGTTACCCCAGAGTCCTGGTTCTGCCCAATGCAGCTCTGCCAGCTGTTTTTAAACAATTATTTAGCCGGGCGGTGGTGGTGCACGCCTTTAATCCCAGCACTCGGGAGGCAGAGGCAGGTGGATCTCTGTGAGTTCGAGGCCAGCCTGGTGTACAAGAGCTAGTTCCAGGACAGGAACCAAAAAGCTACGGAGAAACCCTGTCTCAAAAATTCAAAAAATAAAAAATAAACATTTATTTTAACTGTTATTAAAGGGACATGTTCAGCGCTTCCTTTACTTATTCCTGCAAGTCTACTTTTCCTCCCTCCTGGCCCTGTCCACCCAGTGGTGCTCAGAGGCTACTAAAGCCCCAGCTTCCTTTCCTGAGGTGTGCGTGTTGAGAAGGTGCTGCTGGGGGAGGGGACTTCAACATAACACGGACAGCTGTTAGGCCTGGGTCTCCACCACCCTACAGGAGGCCGCTTCTGCCCTGGGCAGGGATAGGCTTTTCCTCACACTAACATTGTGCTCCCCACTCTTTATTATTCCTTTGGACATTTGGGGAGAAATTTCCACCTGAAGTTAATCCCCAGGAACACCCCTCTGCATCAAGACAGTCAGGCAGTCATTTCCATAACAGGCCTTCCCAGCATAACCCTGCCAGGTCCCTCCCTAGTAGAGACCCAGGGCTGTGAGGCCAAACTGGAGACTTAGACTCCACTCTGGAGCCAGAAGCCAGGATGGTAGTCTGGACTCTGGACCCGTTGGGTGCCTTGGGTAAAGGGGCCTGGGAGCTAATGGCTCGCACTATGGGAAGACCAGGACTAGGCTCAGGGTCCCACATGTAAGCATGAACTCACTCAGGATCCACTGGGAAGTTGTCAGGCCTTCCCTGACTGGCTTTCAGGTTGCCAGACAGGACGGGGTGCACGTCAGATCTGGTGCCAGCTGTCACCCCCGTCCCACCATCACAGGAAGAACCACTTGTCCACACCAGCTTTTCACTGTTTATTACAGTAGGAGGCATCACCGCCTCCTGGTGGCACCTCTGGGAACACTCAGGCAGGAGCTGCAGACAGCCACGCAAGGTCACACCACTTCATCTGTCACTGGAATTGGGTTGACCTGGGGGCCTCCAGCTGTGCCCGCCTCCTCCTCACCCACACTTGGCTTCTTGCGGACCTCCACTGGTGGCCGGGGTGGGGGGTTGGTGGGCGGCTGCTTGATGGTGCCTCCGACCTGGGGCCGCTCCTTGGGCTTGGGCTCAATGGGGGTCCACTGCTCACCCCGGATGGCTGCCTGAGGTGCAGAGAGAGACAGTGTTGCGCTTCAAGCTGCTGGCTGTCACAGGGACTTTAAGTGGAAGTGGGTTTTAATCCCTAAGCAGGATGGGAATGACTATATTAACTGACTGACCCAAGGTCACACAGTGAGGATCTGGGACTGCCTCACACCAAGTTATGTGGCCATGCCAGGAGGGTCCTGCAGTGGAGGGAGCATATAGAACACTCCCAGAAACACTTCCAGGTACAAATTCCATGACCCACACGGCTCCCAGGTCCCCTCCAAGAGATACCCGCGTGCGCTAAGGCCTCCCCAAGGGTGTCAAGCACTCTGTAGGAAGCAGATAGTGCTGGGTGCTAAAGAATACAAGCAGAGTACTTGCTTAAACAGCGCCGCCACCCCCCCACCCCCCGCATGCGCTTCCGCAGCAGCTGCTCCAGTGTGGGAATGTGCACTTAAATTCAGTATCCCACAGGCAGTGGTGGCACCCGCCTTTAATCCTAGTATTCAGGAGGCAGAGGCAGGCAGATCTCTGTGAGTTCGAGGCCAGCCTGGTCTACAGAGCAAGGCCAGGACAGCCTCCCTGTCTCGAAAGACAAAACAAAACAAAAACAAAAGCAATAAATAAATATAGTATCCCATAATGCTTGAGAGAGGGAAACTGTAGCACACAAACACCTGTGGCTACACCTTCTAAACAACAAGCTAGAACATTCTAAGAATGAAGTTAGCAGAAAAGAATTAGAAAGATATCTATATGATCTCAAAAAGGTGGGAGAGACTTTTAATGAACACAAACTATGTTAGGTGAAGAGCACATACCTGTCCTGCAGCATTAGGAGGTATATAAGCAAGAGGATTAGGTTTTCAAGGTCATCCTCAACTAAGTTTGAGACCAGCTGACTATATGAAACCCTCTCTTTCTCTCAAAATAAATAGGAAGATGAGAGATAGATACATACATGCATACATGTATGCATGCATACATACATAGATAACAGGCAGATAGAGAAATGCTTCTGTGTGTTGAATCCCTGGGAAGTGCACCTGACACAGCCCCAAACTCAGACAGGCTTTGATGAGCAACGGGCCCACACTGAGGTTGGGAGGTAGGACCTGGGCCGGCCACACGGCCTCTATGAGTTGTCTTTATCCACCTGCTGGACAGAGCTACGATGCAGCCTCAACAGGAAGTGTCCAGTATACACTGGATGTGCATTAACCAAAGCTGCTGTGAGCAAGGAAGCTGACCTGAGGGCCAAGAACACCAAGGACATGGGAGCAGGGGACGGGGGTGGAGGGTGAAGTGGAGGAGGCTTTACTATAGAGAGCAGCCACTTACCAGCAGGTAGATCACACTGGCAATGACCAAGCAGACAGTCCCCAAGATAGTGGCCAGCAGGAAGCCTGCAGGCACTGACAGCCTGGAGGGGTAACAGAAGGAAGGGGAAGAGACAACAGTCAGGGGGGATCTTGAGCTCTTGGCCATAAGGTCTCAGAGGGAGATGTCATCCCCAGGGCTCTAGACTAAGCAGAGGCCAGCTCTGCCCAGGTCCAGCTTGGCATAAAGTGTTCTTTGCAGTGATTCAAGGCCCAGCAACTGTGTTGGTGGAAAAGCCTAAGCTGAGGTGTGGTATCATGGGTGTGTTCCAGTCCAGGCTTAGCAAAGACCATGAAAAATGGCAGGTGTAACAGACCCACAGAAAACCACCAAGCGCCCAACTGCAATTCAGTTGCTGGGTTCGGTGTGTACCGCACGACAGCTGATGGATGCAGGTTTGGGACCTTCTGCCCTCTCTAAAAGCTGGACTTTTCTGTCTGGGTAAACATCAATGAGGAAGGGGCATGGCTGAGCCCTGTCTCCCATCCAGGCTACAGAACCATGGGGTGCCTCCTTCCAGTCTCCTGTTACCCAGGGCATTGGCGGGGGACTCACAGGAAGTGGAGGACAGCCCGGACGTAGTAATTCCTCGTGAGGGGCCCGAACAGCTTTACCACAGCGGTCAGGTACTTCTGTCCACTAGATGTAGAGGGAGGACAGAGGTCAGGGGGTCAGCACTCAGGACCCTTGTCCCTCCCTATCCATCCCCTTCCAGGGTCCTGGGTCCTTTTCCTCCTGGTCTCATGGACCCAGCAGCTGGGCAGGCGTTGGGCTGGAAGCTCCCGACAAGCCAGGCCCAGGCCGCTCAGGTGGGGGTGACTTACCACCGCTCCATGGTGGAGCCCTTTTTCCTCTTCCCTCGAGGGTACTCCAGCAGACAAATGAGCACACCTGCAGCGCTGAGGCAGCGTTAAGGAAAGCCGTGCTTGCCCTAAGCTAGCGTGCACTTCAGGTAAATGGAGGCACAGCCGCTGGCCCATCCCCCATTCTCCCTCCTCGTCTGTTCTCAGGTTCTGGCCAGAGGGCCCATTGTCTAACAAGGTAAGGAGGAGGCAGGAGACTCTAACTCAGCTCCACGTCTGCCTGAACCTATTCTGTGCCCTTTGGCAAGCTGTCTTGGCTTCTAAAATTGCAGACAGAGCCGGTTCTGCTTCTTGAGGCTGTGGCCAAACAGGACAGTTGTAGAACCGCTAGCTCGGGAAGCAGCAGCATCACCACACCGTCCTAGTCCCCAGTAGAAGGATACATAGAGTAGGCACCAAAGTACCACTGTGTGAAGCGCCCAGCTGTGGCCACGATGCCCCCTGTGATGAGAACTAAGGGTGGAGGGAGAAGGTTAAGAGGAGGCACCTGTTGCAGGTGTGAGCCAACTTGTGCTTGCCCCTGGGCTAGGACCTCCTCCAATTCTCTGCCCACTGGGTTAGGGCACTGCCCCAGGAGGAAATGCCTGGATTGCAGGGGGCACAGGAGGCAGAGAGGATGCTTGGTGACGTGGCCAGGGCGAGCTGAACATGCTGGTGGGAGTCTTGCGCTCCAGGGTAGCTGTCTAGTGCTTACAACCTGGGTGCCTGACAGTTACTGCCCCTTTTCAGCTGCGTGTTTCTTGGTCCTTTTGTAATCTGCACATACTTGGGGTTCCACCCCCCCAAAAAAAAAAAAAAACAAAGACCTGCACAGGGTTGTGCCACAATCGCACGGCCCCACGGTCATCCCAGTCGGCTAGCCCATTCAAGACTACATTACGGAATACACAGTGTGAAGCTTAGCTCCTCCACGGAACCACGTGACAACCGTCCTCATTTCAGCAAGCTCTAGTGTCTGTGTCTTTAGCTCAGGTGAAGCTGAACTGACGGGCTCTGTAAATAATTAGCAGCTCACTCTTCCTTTGCTGTTGTTGTTTTTGAGAAAGTCCAGACAGGCTGGCTGGTCTGGAACTCCTGAGCCCCCTCTTCCTGTGGTTGCATTGCAGCATGGATCACCATATTCCACCACTTACTTTTCTTCTTGTTTTCTTTTGGTTTTTCAAGACAGGGTTTCTCTGTGTAGCCCTGGCTAGCCTGGAACTCACTCTGTAGATCAGGCTGGCCTAGAACTCACAGAAACCCACCCACCTCTCCGAGTGCTGGGATTAAAGGTGTGTGCCACCACCACCTGGCATAATTTTTTTTGTTCGTTTTCTTACTTTTTTTTTTTTAAATTGACTGTTTCTCTAATCCCTGAATCAACCACGATTTACTAGTTTATTTGCCTGTCTTTGGGATATTTGGAGGCTTCTAGTCTATAGCTATGATGGATAAGGTGATGTGGCTATGTTTTTATTTTTTTTTAACCAATAGTAAGAGTGAATTTAAGATATTTTATGGGGTTGGCAAGATGATGGAGCGAGTAACAACACTTGCCACCAAGCCTGATTCATCCTGATGACAGGACCCACGGAGAAGCAGAACTGACTAAGTTGTACTTTACCTCTGTGTGCCTACTGTCTTAGCATGGTGGTGCCCAACTGCCCTGGCAATGCTTAAACCGGACATGGTGGGCTTGTATGCAACCCCAGCCCTTGCGAGGTGGAGGCAGGAAGGCCAGGATTCAAAGTCATCATCTTTTGCTACACAGTGAGTTTGCAACCAGCCTGAAACCCTGTCTCAAAACAAATAAGTAAAAGGCAGGACCCTGCTGTAGGTTTAGAAAGATGAGTGATACACTAAGCCTACGA